TCGACTTCCATTTCCTGGTGATTGATAAGTTTGCTGCTACCAGGATGTGGAATGCGAGCATACCCTGGGGTTTCATTAGAGTGTCCGGCAGCATAAAGAGCAGGAAACATTCAGCTGATGGCTGCACTGTCTGACAATTACAGTCGTTACCACCTCCGCTATCATCTTCCAGAAAGGGCATACTTTGAGCACTCCCACCATATGTGTATCATCGAGCCTTTCTCTAGGCCACATCTCTAACATTTGTCCAAGATGCATTTGAACATATGTGCTAATCTAGTAGGTACCAGATACCGCAGTGTTGCAATTTTTCTCATAAGTTCTAAGTGTGAAATACAACGGGTGTGTTTTTTGTGGATAAAAAAGCCTTGCGCCAATGTTTCTGAGGGATACTGTGTCTTAGGTCTTTTTCCCATTCCTTAGCGTAGCCAGGTAAAGGGGATTTTGTATTGTACAATAAAGCATAATAACATACCAAGATACCTTTCTTTTTTGGTACTAGGCCAACACACATTTTCTCTATTATCGATAGTTCAGAGGACTATAGATTCAATAGAGATGATGCACATCTGGCTGTGCCCCAGGAGTGTGGATCTCAGTTGGAGGTAAGACAGGAACTGTATGGGTGGGATGTCATGATCTTTTTGGAACTGTGTAAACTGTTTTAGGCTAGACCCTTCCCACAGGTGGATTAAGTGCATCAGTCCCCTATCCTCCCATTCCCTGCTGTCAAACGTGGATATCATGAGTTTGAAACACACTAAGGGTGTAGCCAATTATATTGGACCCCAGGTGGTTATTTTTGTTCTATACTTGTCCCAAGTGCGCACCATAAGAGCAGTAGTAGAGAGAATGGCTGTTGCATGTGGTCTAATGGGCTTCGGTATCTACAGTAAGGAGTGAATACCCCTGGATGGTGCCCAGTTTGATTCAATCTCCGCCCATTGTGGAGATGTCTTGGGGTCCGTGGTTGTAATCGTATGATTATAGTTGTAAGTCTGGACTCCCCATGCCCCCATCCATTAACTTTCCCATCAACGTGCATTTTGGAATCCCCCCTTTCGTCTCCCATACACAAAATGGTTCACCTGCTTCATGAACTGTAGCTTTGGAAGAAGCATCATCTTAAATGCCACGATGCGACCTATCCACGTTATATGTTTATCTTTCGATTTTTCTAAGTCTGATCTAATTGTGGAGGCAAGTTTGCCGTAATTGGCCGTAAAGAGGTTCTGAGGGTTTTTGGTGATCTTCACCCCTAGGTATACAATGTATAGTCATAGTTGTAAGTTTGTTTCAGGAGTTGTGTCGAGTTGTTTCTTTGTGTGTAGGTAAAGCCTGGGTCTTGGTCGTGTTCAGTTTGTAGTAGGAGTATTTACTGTAATCCTGTAATATCATTGTAAGGGTCAAGAGTATGCCGTCTGCAAATAGACTCAGTTCATCTCCAATTTTGATGCCTGTAATTTTGGATTTCGTCCTTAATTGTATGGCCAGTGGCTCCAAAGCCAGAACATACAGAAGGAGCAACAGGGGACATCCCTGGCGTGTGCCATTCGTTATTATGAATGGCTCCAATAGAAAGCCACCATACGATACACTGGCTATTGGGTGGATATAGAGAGCCCATACCACCGCCAGAAATCTGCCTCTAGAAAATTCCAGTTTAGGTTGTCAAAGGCTTTCTCTACATCTAAGGAGATCATTTGGCTTTTATGTATTGAGTACAAAATATCCATTACCTTTCTAGGTGTCTCCCCTTCACGAACCCTGCCTAGGCAGGGTGAATGAAGGATGGCAAGATTCCCTTGAGTCAATTTGGCGAATAGTTTAGCGTCCGAATTAAGTAGCGAAATTGGTCGAAACTTTTTACAATTAGTTGGGGGTTTTCCTGGTTTAGGAAGGGTGATCACTGTCACCATCAGCATGTCTTTGGGTAGTCTTGAGAGCTCAATCGCTTCGTTGAACAGTCATAGGAGTGTGGGGTCAGAACGTCTTTACATTTTTTTTAATATACGTTTGGGAGGCAATCAGGTCCCAGTGATTTGTTTGAGGGAAGATTGTCAATAGCCATTGAAATTTCTTCTGCGGTAAAGAGTGTGTCTAGATTGGCCTGTTGTGCAGTGGAAAGTACAGGGGTACCGATGGGCCCCAGGTATAATGCAATTTATTCCCAGGGTGCATGATGTAGGGAGTTATCCTGTCTTAAATTATACAATTTGCTATAGAAGTGAGAGAATTCAGTGCTGATCTCTGAAGGTCTGATGATCCTGACCCTCCCCCCCAATGAGACTATATAAGGATTTTAAGATTGAGCCCTTTGGTCTTTGAGTTTGGCTGCCAGAAGTTTACTTGCCCTATTACCTTGAGTGTAGTGTGATGGTTTCGCCTCAGATATTTTGGATTATAGGAGTACAATCTCGTTCCTGTACATTCGGTCTGGCTTGGCCTGGCTTAGTTTGTTTTTAGGTTTTTATGTCTATATTTCCATATTTGTATTTGGAGTTGAGCTTTCTTTTTGACATGTGACGCTTGTTTTATTATTATCCCCCTCAGCCTTGTGTGCCTGCCAGATAGTGTCATCGTGCACGTCCGATGTGTAATTTGTGGAGAAGTATTCCCTGATTTGTCCTCGGGGCTTGTTAGTAAATTCATTGTCTTGAAGGAGGGACTCGTTCAGTCTCCAATGAGGTTTATCCTTAAAATTGAAGGTGTCAGATATGTCCATGATGACTGGGGCATGGTCTGACCATTCTATGTTTCCTATGGAGCAGTCCTCTACCTGTGACAATAATGTTTTCTGTATGTACCATCTATCTATCTATCCTCATGTAGCTATTGTGCAGTGCAGAAAAGAAAGTATATTCCCTGTCTGGTGGGTGGGTCGCCGTCCATGCATTATACAGGTTATGAGCTGCAAAAAGTGTGTGTAGGCGTTTTGCTACCCTCTGTAGTCGTGCAGCTCTTGCAGGGGTTTTTTGTGAGGAGGAGTCCAGATTTGGTTCCAATGTGCAATTAAAATCTCTGCATAGCAGTAACATGCCCTGTACCTGTTCTATTTTCTGGAATACTTTACTGAGGAAACTAACCTGATTGTCGTTAGGGGCATAACTATAGTGTATGTGCCTCCATTGATGTTCGCTACTATGATAATGAATATATCGTCAAGGTCTTTAATGGAAGTTGGTAGCTGATCAAAATGGAATCCCCTTTCGATTTGGAGCCAGCTGATGCATGAAATTGGTGCAGGAATTTTCTATTTTGGAATCAGCATGGTTCGTTTCTTTCATAGTGCCTCTCTTGTAGGCATACAATGTCACCTTTGAGTTGGGTAATTTCTCTATACAGTGTGTGCCGTTTAAATAGGGGAATTAAGCCCTGTAGCATTGTGAGATATTAATCTCATGGTTTGTAATGAAGGATATGTACAACCCCTGGTGGTTCCTAAATCTGTCCCCCTACTCTCCAACCTCCTTAAAAGTAGTCTCTGCAAAGTAGAAAGAGAAAAGAACATGGAAATGTAGCAAACAGAAGATATCCTAGAGAAGGAAAGAATACTGGTGATACCTTGACCAGGATGGTCGCCCTCTGGCGATCTACAGTGGGTTTCGAGTGTGCTGAGTGAGACCTTTCAGCGCCCTTGGGGGTATTCGGTGGAAACCAAACAGGCATGGTCGCCACCAAGGCTTACTCTGCACAGATGAGACAGCCAGGCAATGTAACCAAACATAGTATATGAAATACGTCAAACAACCGGTAAACCAAATATAACAAACAACTTCCTCGAATGCGTTATAGGGGCAACATTTTCAAAGGTTCCCACCTTCACCCTGTTAACTACAGCGTAGACCCCATCCACTGTTCAAACATTAGTGGCTTCATCCGACCTCCCCCAGCTGTGTGCTTGTCCCCTGAGTGTGACCTCTATCACATATTATACCTGCTTGAGAATTAGGGCATGGGTACCCCACTATCTTCCCAGACCTGTATGGAGAACTAAGTCCAATGAGCCACTCTGATTTTGGCCCACACTTACTTACAAAGTGGGTAGGTTGATGTATACTTCCCCCCCCACCCCCAAGCATTAGTAAGTATTGGCTAGCTATGGGCCATACGACACGTTTCGTGGGTCCATGTTTAGGGGTTTGACTTTCAATGAATGCAGCGCCTATGGAATTATACAAAATACACAATAAGCATGCTCACAGATACAGGGGGGCCCCCCTGACTCCCCCCCGCTGCTCCGTATCAATCTGTTCCAAGCCGTGTCCGTAGTCTCATATCTGTCATGTGTGGACAGCACTCCGTGGTTATCATACCAACTATATTGCGGTATCACTGAGTTAAAGTCCTCCCAGCCCCGAACGATTAAACAATAAACTCTAACATTATCTTAGAATTCGATGAGGGGCACAATGCCGAAATCTAAATGTAGCGAGAGCTGTCAGTTTGATTTTGCGAATCAGGAAAAGATTCAAGTATAGGCTGATCATTGGTCTTGGGAATTGTGATACCCCATGAACCTCACCCGCCTTTGGTGCTTTGGGAAAAGTGAATCAGTCTCGGACTGTATCTCTTAGTTCTATAGCAACACAGTTCGGTAATAGGCATTTGCCTGTTCACGTATAGTTCATGTTTTTCTTCTGACTCTAGTGGTAGTCATTCCACATCAATCAGCGCTTCGCTGTTGCTAGGCCAATGTCGGCACATTTCGGTGTGGGGAATTTGTGTATTTACATGCAGTTCATGGTTTGTTGTGCGGCTTTAGCAGCAGGTAAGCAACTTCTGTAAGCTTGTTCTTGGGATAGGCGCTGTGGCCTTTTTGGACTAGTTGTTTGGTTCTGAAATGATATATCCCACTGTTTCAGCACAGTATACCCTTCCTCCAGGTTTTACACTTGGTAAGTTTGTCTATTCCTACTTATCAACAGATGCGTGGAGAACCCCTATCTGTAAGCCACTTGTTGCTTCCAAAGTGCCTTAGTGATGGAAGTGAAACTCCATCATTGCGCCAAAGTAGTAGGTGATATTTCGGCAAAGATTTGGATCTGCGCATAAACGCCTGACAATTCCTTTGCAGTTCTACTGGCTCGTAGTATGGCCTCTTTAATGTGGTGATAGTGGACTCTAAGAAGTACATCCCACAGTGTAGTTTGTGGGGCTGCCCGTGCTTTCACCACCTGCTGTACCCTGTCAAGAAGGATCATGTCAGCTGGCATATCTGGGCACAGTGTGCGAAACAGCCCCATGGCATAAGATGTCAGGTCACTCACCGCCGTGGACTCCGGTATGCCGCAGAGACAGAGATTGTGCCTGATGAAGCGATCTTCAAGGGGGGTCAATTTTGCTTCATACGCAGCTAGCCATTCTTCCATTTTTAGCATTTGGTCAGTTACTGAGTTGTGAGCGGTAGCGATCTCGTCCATTTTGAACTCAAGATGCGAGGTAGGGGTGCCAATGTCCTGTATTTCTGTTTTCAGATCTAGTATGGATTAATGGAATTTGGCAATCAGTTGCTCACCTTGCGTGTTGAGAATCTTTTGGAGAAGTGTAGGGGTCAGTGAAGCTTCCCATTCCCTAGATTCATGGCTCTCCCTGCCTTCCTGTTCTGCTTGCGACTTAGCCTGCATTTTGGCCGTGAAGAAGGAGGATTTGTCCCCTTGTCTTTTCTCTTTTTGATGAGACATGTTCCAGGTCACTGTTGTCGTCAATAAAATGATTTGCTCCGGCTGTTATGCCTGTTAAGCCGTTTGCCTGCCTGGAGCTCTGCTCTTATGAAGGCCATTCCATGCGGCATCGGCTCCGCCCCCCAGATATTTGATCTTTTAAGAGGCATATAGGAAATGGGATGACCACTTCTTCTTCTGGTCCAGCCCCACACACTGGAGTACCTATGACAGCATTGTATTTTACATCCACTATAAGTGTTCCTCCAGCTCAACTATCAAGCGTAAGAGGCTGACTGGACTACAGAGGATAAATGTTAAGGCTTCTGGAACTACCCAACTAAGCTAAAAAAAAACACACATATATTTGAGTGCTATAAATAGGCGCCCCCTACAGGACAGGTGTCTGTAGGTAGATTTTGATTCTGCCTAATGGGACATTCAGCCCAACCTATAGGACATATCTACATGTCTCAGCAGCAGAAAAATATTCAACTTCAGTAGAAGAATGGGCTGCCAAGGCTTGATTGCAGCTTGCACAGCTTTCAATAATAAAAAAAATGCATATCCTCTAATGTACTTATTATGTGATATTTCCTCAGTATAATTTGCATGAGTGTATCCTATAAATCTAGGATTTCTGATGACTGATAGTTTTAATTTGAAATAATCCAAAAACAACCTTTTGACTGCAGTCCAGCCCCACTTCCATTGGTGTAGGCATCATTTTAACATATTGTAGTCCTAAGCTTTCATACAGTTCTAGAACCTTTTGTTTGTGACTGAGAAAAAAAAATGTAAAACAGAACAAAAGGAACCACACTCACCTCCATTTAAAACTGGGTGCGCCAAAGCAGAACCAGCAAATCCAAACCACATATGGTAAAAGAAGAAAAAATCTTCAGGCACTCAGCCATAGTCAGATTTATTGGATCAGGAAAGGAAAGCAATGTTTGACCTATAAATAGGTCTTTATCAAACTACCAAATGTAACTGCTGTGGTTCCCCTATTTAC